ATGAAAATATCATTAATATGTAATAAAATGAATCTATCGAAACTGCAGTAGTATATAATTACTGATTGACTTTACAAATTTCTAGGCCATAACAACGATGAATTTTGTACAACCAACTCCCATACAAGCTGCTACTATTCCTGCAGCTTTAATGGGTCGTGATATTTGTGGTTGTGCGGCAACAGGTACAGGGAAGACTGCAGCTTATATGCTTCCCACTTTGGAAAGATTATTGTATAGACCATTGGATGGTCCCTCTATTTCGCGTGTTCTCGTACTTGTGCCTACTAGAGAATTGGGAGTGCAAGTTTATCAAGTGGCAAAACAATTAGCTCAGTTTACAACGATAGAGGTCGGTTTATCTGTTGGTGGATTGGATGTGAAAGTACAGGTGAATATTATGTCTTTAATAAATTTTTTTTATGTAATTTATCAAACAAATCCAAAATTAGGTAACTTCATATTTTTTTCATATGAATGCAGGAAGGCGTATTGAGAAAAAATCCAGATATTGTAATAGCAACACCTGGAAGATTAATTGATCATTTAAGAAATGCACCTACCTTTTCCTTGGATAATATAGAAGTATTAATTCTAGATGAAGCTGATAGGTAATGTATAAATATATTTCTATAATACAGAGTTGGGTAATGTCTAGTTAAAAAAATAAAATTCAACAATAAGAATAGAAGTAATGGCCGTCCAATAGTCTAAAAAAAATAAAAGTTAAGTTAAAAAGTTAAATAATTTTAACTTAGTTACATTTGAGACTCTTAACTTCTTAGATTTCTAACTTAATTTAATTATCTTTTATCTATCATTAACTATTAACTTTTAATTCAGCTATGCTATAAATAAATGCGTTGCAAGATGCTATACATCTGCCTAGTAATTTAACATTATATGGGGCTTAATTCTTAAATTCGTGCTAATTTGTTCGCATACGAAATGAGCCATATTTCGTATAGCGTGGTCATATATTTTTAGACTAAAGAATTCCATTAATCATAAAGTTTAAAATGGCTTTTCGAATGCAAACAAATTTGTACATTTTTAAGAATCGAGCCGATAACAACAGATTCTTAAGGCTTTGGCACATCAAAGGTGATTAGCGGTGAACGATAAGCAGATACAAATAAGAGTTCTGCTTTTTGGCAATGTTGAGCACGAAAAAAAGCAGATCTTTGACAATGTTGAGCACGAAAAAAAGCAGATCTTTCATTAGTTATGCTCATCACTCGTCGTAAATTCATGAATTGCATTTGGTATGCCAGAACGATTAGTCTCAGCGATTAGTCTGTCAGGGATTGCGGAATAATAGAGAAGTATAAAAATGTAACTATTAAAACAGCGAACTTTAATATAGGCCCTGCACATGCAATGGAGAAATATTAAAAATTAGGAAAACAAATTAGAATTTTAGAATCAGTTTCCTCAATAAATATTGAACACAAAGGATATGTAAAGTATAAATGTATTGGCAGAAGACACAATACATAATTTACTATTTATTTATAGTGCTCATTGAAACTGATTCTAAAATTTTAATTTCTAATTCCTAATGAATATTTCTAAAATGTATATTTTATTTTAATTATTTGTAAGACAAACTTTGAAACAATTAAACATATTTAACTTTTTTAACTTTAATTACTTTTTTTATTAATTTAACTTTTAATTCAATAATTTATTATAGATTAACTTGTATCTTAACTAACAAATAAGTTAAATTTTCAACGCTATTAACTTTAATTTACTTAGTTTAATAAAAAATTAACTTATCCACCTTGCAATAAGAGTTAATGTTAATTGATTTTATATATATACGATATTAACGAATATATATTATATATGAACAATGAATTTTTTATTTAAGAATGTTAGATGAATATTTTGCTGAACAAATGAAATATATCGTAAAGCAATGCTCAAGGAGCAGACAGACTATCCTCTTTTCTGCTACTATGACTGAGGAAGTCGAAGATTTAGCTGCAGTATCTCTTGACAAACCTATTAAAATATTTGTGGATAGCAATCAAGATGTAGCTTTTAATCTACGTCAAGAATTTATTCGGTAAGTAAATTGTTTGCAGTTATTTCTTACATTATTATTTATTGAACAAATATTATTTTAGTATACGTAAGGAAAGAGAGGGAGATCGCGAAGCAATCCTAGCAGCGCTAGTTTGCCGAACTTTCCATGATCATACTATGGTTTTTTTGCAAACGAAAAAACAAGCTCATAGATTGCATATTTTATTGGGATTATTAGGTGTAAAAGTAAGTAAATAATTAGTAAATTAGAATATAATGAAATATACAAAAAATAAAATACTAATATATAATAGAATATGATTCTAATTTATATTTCTTTTTGTTATATTCAACAAGGTTGGAGAACTTCATGGTAATCTCACACAACCGCAACGTTTGGAAAATCTTCGAAAATTTAAAGATGAGGAAATTGACATCTTGTTAGCAACTGATGTTGCTGCAAGAGGTTTAGATATAAGTGGTGTAAAGACTGTGATTAATTTCGTGATGCCTGCCACTCTTCAACATTATATACACAGGTACGAAATGAAATTTTTTAAATTGTTTATATAAATTGTTTAATAACGAAAAATTATACTTATAATTATTAGAGTAGGGAGAACTGCAAGAGCAGGGCGTGGAGGTGTTTCTGTATCACTAGCAGGAGAACAGGAA